CACTTCCTTGCCTCTAGTACCGAACGCCGGCCGGCAAGGCAAACGCTCGTCAGTGGGGGCTTTTGATCCTTTGCCAGACGAGATTTTAAGGGCAGACATCTTGCTCGCCATACCCAAGTCGCTGAGAATCTTATCCTCGAGAACAGAAATTTTTGGGTCCGGCTGAGGTGCAGCATTGGGCCTGCATTCCTGTTAGTGCCGGGTTACCGAAAAAGCGAATCATGACTTACCTAAAGACCTCATCCTCTCCAGCGAATTTCGGTCCTCCAAAACCCCCTCGACCCCCACCCCGACCGCCACGGAACTCTCCCCTACCTCGACCTCCGCCTCCACCCCCGCGGTAGTCACCACCGCCCCGTCCGCCACGATAATCACCACCGCCGCGGCCACCACGGAAGTCACCTCCCGGACCTATTCCAGAAAATGTAGCACTACCGCCACGATCGCCGCCGCCGCGACCTCCGCGGCCACCTCGTCCTCCACCACGATCACCACGACCTCTACCTCTACCACGATCCGCCATAGTAGCTACCAGATAGCAGTTGAAAAAGGATGAGGTATGTAAGGTTGCAACTAACTAGTTAGCTGAACTTGAAATGAGTTGTGATTGATTGGATGGCTTACGCCGACCAGACTTGGAAAATCGACAGTATGAGTTGAATAGATGAGCAATATCGTTAACTACAGCTGTAGTTGCAGAGATATCCGTCTCGATACTGGGTAAGTTCGAGGTAGATAGGAGTATCTAGTCACAGATGAGATGAGCGCCTGCTCAGAAGGTGACAAGATGAATCTGCAAGAAAATAGCTATGAGATATTGACCATTGTAGCGATATTATGGAGAAATAGGTAAAAGAAGACTGACAGAATGCCTGAAGTTAGGATATATACGGGGAGGTATATATCTATGTATATGTTGGTTTTGAACAGACGGGAGACAACGTTCTGCAAGTCGGTTAGGCAAGGATCAGGAACCCCCAGGTAGCTCGATTGCAAAAATGACATGGGGAGTTTGGTTATGAAAACTTGATTGATAAGAGATATCCGGGTACAAGTTAAGAATACATGTAGATAGTTGACTGTATACTGCACGGAAGCGTTCATCCAGCAGGTTGGCCACATCAATGACGATGCAGCAGGCCTAGAGGGTTGTTGGCTGTGATGGGGTGTGAGGGGCAAAACCTACAAACAAGCTGTGCTAGACCTTTTAATCGGTACAGATGTTGCTGCAAGATGATAGTTTGAAGTTAAACAACCCAAACAATTAGGTGGGTGTGGATATTGCTAGGATAGAAGAAACTCTGTTTAGGATCCAGCAAAAAGCTCAAGCAGAGCGAATTCAACATAAGCTGAGGGGTAGGAGCATGCCAGATAGGAAATGATAATGACCGGCCAAGAAGTCCTCTCATAAAAGAGTATTCTAACTGACTAGGTAGGTACTGTAAATTGAATCAAACACGATGGGGGAGAAACTTAGAAATATGGACGTAAAGAGGAAAAAGACATAGCATACATAGGGAGGATAGAATAAAAGAATGAGGCAGCAGAAGTGGACCCGGTATTATGTAGAGATATGTAGGTACTTGCAAGTTACTTACACAGCTCCAGAGGAGTAACGCTGTTGGTTAAAGCCCTACATGTCACCACCCGCAACCCGCAGGCGGCTATAGTTTCCTTTTCCCAATTGGCAAACTACCTCCTTTTCGATTGAGAAAGAAGTCCTACCTTATTCGTATCTCCTTTGCTTTTTTTTTCTTCCCATTCTCTCTTTTCTTTCTCTATCAAATTCCCAAGCGGTGTGCAGCTATGTATGTCACGATTATTCAGGGTTTTGCCATTAATCGATATCTACCTACCCCCCCGGTCGGGCAGCTAAACTGTTTACGGCCCAATTTGGCGTTTGAAGACCCGCGCACATGGTTCCGGTTTCCAGCCTATCCCTGTCTCAGCCGATGCCCCGCCCTTCTCTGCACTTCGTGGCTTTTCTCCACCTGAGCTGTATCCCACCATAAGAAGGTTACTGCATGGAAAACGCATAAATATATGAAGGATGATGAGTTATTCGCTCTTCAATTCTAAAAGCAGAAAATACACAATTGCGAGCAGGAGATTGGAAGAATCATTATTTCTATATCCCACGAATTGTCACCGCTTGAATACCTAGCTAGCCTTTGCTTTTTTTTATGAACAAGGATTGCAGTTTGAAATTGGTCACCATGAGCTCTTCTAAATCATCGCATCCTATGGCTGACAGCTTGGCTACGTAATGGGTAAACCCGAGTTAGCGGTACAAGACCCAAGCCAGGCATTGATAATTGAGACCGGAAAATGAGGTACTCATCTTGTACAGCTTAGGTATCAGTGACGAATTCTGTCCGAAAATGACATGTCTCTTTTTAACAGCACAACTTGTCAGCTCATTATCGTCGTAGGCAACAGGTTAACCAACCTATGAGTCATTTTGGCTGTTCTTCAGCAGGATTATGCTCATCCCACATCCAATGATGCTTACAGTCCTACCCCTAATATATATTGACTGTATATGATTGAAAGCAACCCTAAACCCTGTCCTACTTTTCCCAAATGTCTTCTTGCAATAGCATAGACAAAGACAAGCATCTTTGCAAACAGGGCATAGTGGCATGCCCAGGCTGGTATCCCTCGTACTATGTAGTACATCCCACACCTTGGTGGCCACTTCGCTATCTTGACAAACAAAAGCCCTTGGAATAAGGGTTGCCTATTACGTAGTCAATAACAAATGGACTTCAGCCTCATCCATTCACTTAATTGGTTCTATGCTACCTACATATTCTGGCCATCCTCATGCATCCTGCAAGCCAAAAGTACCCCCGCCACCCTATTCTTGCAGGTTGCCGACTTGCAGTCGGTACCTGAACTTGACGCAGGTTGGAGCTGACAACCTGTCATTCAAAAGGTTCAAGCAGCCTACCGACACGTAAACCCATGAACTTCAAGGGGTCTGGGATCTCCCCCAATATAAGACAGCAGGGGGGGCTTGGAATCCCACACTTTTGATTAAATACATGCCGGAAACTGTCTGATAGGGTCCTATACATAAATCAGCCCTAGCTAAACCCCACGGGGATATAGCGGATTACCGGACCGTCCCGCTACCAGTAGGTACCATTTCTCCACAGTCGCCAGGTGACGGAGGTAGCAGAGATAGGCATGTGTTTACAAGAATTCGGCTTACACGTTTGCTCTCCTCGGTTAGAGACAGCAGGTCATATTGAGAATCGTTTGCACATGTCGCTTATATCAAGTAAACCTATATGTAATCATTGTAGTACAAGTACAACACCTGGATGCGTACAGCGTGCCCTCATTCGACCAGAACTCGGCCTGGTGAAACACAGTGCCAGTGTTGCTCTCGCAACAATATGCTTCTAGATCATTATGGCCCTACGTAGTATATGACTCACACAGCAGGGGGCAGGTTCCGACAACAACCTAGCCTTGATTATTACATACCGTATATCCATCGTGGACATGAGCTATCCAGAACGTCAGCAGGTAGCGATTGCTAGAAACAAGCTAAAGCACCTATCAAGTGAACCAACTACTAGCCAAACAATACAATGGATTAGACATTTTAGAGACTGGAAACCTACTCAAGGGTCGAATACAAAGAAACAAAGACGAAAATCTAGTTTGTTTTAATATGGATGGACACCAAACCACCATCCAAGTCTACAATCATATTTATCACTCGCATTGAAAGCCTTCGATACGGACATTGATCCTGCGGCTATTAAAATAATATCCATCCTCCATATACGATGATGGGCTAGCCTTTGATGATAGCATTAACGGTTTGTTATATGAGATGTAGTAGTATGTCTTATCATTTTCTCGCTATGTTTCCGATAATTGATAAGCCCTTATGCATACGTCGTCCCACTGTAGTTGTCTAGACACGAATAGAATCGTTACAACTCGATCGGTGAGTAATAACGCCTGGCAGACCTTTTCCTACTCGTGGGCTTTAAATGAATGTAGATTCAGTGGAAAACGGGCGGTGATTCAGTTGGTATCTCAGAGCAACATTGAAATTGAAAATGTAGTAACTATAAATTCAATTTCAAGTAATACTATATTAATCTCCAGCCTGTCGCGTGGCACACCGTGTATGAAAGAATAGAACTTCTAATAAGATCATTATATACATATACGATGTCTCTTTGTCCAAGGTGAAACCTGACACTAGCCAAAGGAAATGAAAACATCTCGTATTACTCGTTCAGCCGTAACTCGCCCTCGTTAAGTTGCACCCATTTTGGCATCTCCATACGTGGGTTACACAACTCACCGCCTTTATATGGCCTCGAGGAACTAGTGTAGCAAGAGTCCCTTTAGTAGAGCGCAAGTAAAACAACTTCGGGTGTGTTATATGAAGACATGTCCAGTAGGCAGAACATGATGTCCTGTCACGTACTGCTAGTAGGACTAAGAGCATGGCGATGCTATGGCTTCTCCATTAGGACTCGCTAGCATTTCCGTCAAGTAGATTACAACTAAGCCAGAAGAATACCCTGATAGAAAGAACTACATTGATGACAATGCAATAATCCTTTACATGTCAGGGCTATAGCAGGATTCTAAGGCGCACCTTGAGGTAGTCTATATTAACTGGCTCGACACGCACAACTCCTGTGCTCCCCTTTGGATATCTATGTTTTATTGCTTCACTTGTTAAACAGTGATATGCGTCCTCAATGCCAGCTAGTTAATATCTCTACCAGCCATAATCTACCAAAGGCAGATAATCGAATATGAGAAGTCTTTCTAAGTCCGTCTTATTTGCAATCTTCCAGTGCCTCCGGTGCGGTACCTTGGTGCTTCCCGATAGCACACAATCAGATACCCACTTCGGACCAATTGGCGAATAGGAAGGTAGGGTTAACGGCACAATTTCGGAGGTCCGCGATTCCTTCCGCGCTATGTATATAAACTCCCGGTTTAAACAGCCTATCACAGCCCGGTTAGCTCAATCGGTAGAGTAAGTTGACACACTCACTAGATCTTACAGACAATTCAACTAACAATCTATAGGCGTGAGACTCTTAATCTCAAGGTTGCGGGTTCGACCCCCGCATCGGGCTCAAATCCTGATGCGTCTGTTCAACAGACACTTCGAACCAATTTTTTTTTCCGTATTTTTCTCGTCAGCTACTAATGTATAGGCTGGTTAGAAAATGGGGCTGCAATATGCGCAGCTCTCTTCCCCCTTTTTTTTTTTTTTTTTTTTTTTTTTTTTTTTATTTTTTACTCTTTAATACGGTTAGGATTAGAGCTGTATGGGCGTGGTATATCAATAGAATGAGAGCTAGACTTGCAAGTAGTACTATATGAGCACTCAA